GTTCTGACCGTTGTCCACCCCACCCTAAGGATACAATTTTTTTTCAAAACTTGTTCACAACTAAGAAGTTAATCAATTAAAACAGTTTAAGTGTTTTATATTTATGTGTTTTTCATTTATATATAAAAAAAAACACTGGGGGGGGGGTGGATCCCCCCCTAAATCGTGATAGGGTTCAGGAATTCCGGACATCGGCCTCCAAATTGTCAAATTATTTCTGTTTGGAATTCCAGTGTCCCGTTGTCCTAAACTTCACTAATTCTTTTTCCAATTTCCAATAAGAATATGAAACTGATATTAAATGCATTTATGTATTTTCAGCGTTTTTACATTTTAAATTGGGTTTAGTTCGTTCATCACACATACACGTTCTCAATTGTAATTTCTTAGTAGTATGTAGTATGCTCTATGGGCCTCATAGAAAAAAAATCTGTGGATTTGTTGACTATGTTTTTAAAAACTAAAGGGGATTCTGGATTTAGCTTTCAAGCACTCGCATTTAGAATTTTGCCAATTACTTCTCACAAATGCATTGGGACATTTTAAAGTCCATGCTCAGTCATGAAAACTGATGCAACTGTTCAAAGCAGTCTGTTAAAACTAGAAGGTTGTGCTAAAGCCACCACATGAAAACTGATGCTACTGTTTAAAGCAGTCTGGATCTATGTTCAATGCAGTCTGTTAAAATTAGAAGGTGGTGCTAAAGCCTCCACATGAAAACTGATGCTACTGTTTAACCCTATCCCTGCTGGGGTACTTGAAAAACAGGATATGCTGGGGGGGGGTCAATTTGACCCCCCCTTTTAAATCCCATGTTTGATGTCCAAATATGACAAATGGTACATCATTAGAAAGCTCTTGTGCTCTACTTTTAGAATCTGCAAAATAATGTGCAAATTTGCAAAAATCGAATTTTTTATCGCAAAATCCAGTTATATAGTGAAAATGCTTGCAAAAAAAAATTTGTCCAAAAAATGAAAAATTATACATTTTTGAAAAGCCCTTGACCATGCCATTTCAATTATGCAAAACTTTTGCAAAATTTTAAATAACCTGATTTTTAATCAAGAAAAACTAAAATGTGAAAATTTCCTTTGACAGGTTGTTTGCAAAAAGTTTGCATTTTTTTCGCAGAGCTTGTGCAATCCGTTTCCATATGTCATAGGCTTTCCAAAAAGCTAAATTTTATCAAAATCTGACAAGTGAAAGTTGGTCAAAACAAAGATTCAGTTTGTTACAGGATAAAGCAGTCATTCAGGCAGTGTGCCTGAGGATTCAGGCAGTTAGTATTAAAGCCCGGTTTTAGGCCTAAAGGGAGGGCTTTGGATATGTAGGAAAAGTCAGAAAATTTCAACAGCCTCAGACCAATACTTTTTGAGTTATGTAAAAAAACTACAGGGGGGGGGGGGTCAAATAAACCCCCCCCCAGAAGGAATAGGGTTAAAGCAGTCTAGATCTTTGTTCAATGCAGACTGTTAAAATTAGAAGGGGTGCTAAAGTCTCCACATATAAAATTGCCTGACCGGGAAAAGGCGTAATTGGTAATTTAAGTTTCCTTTCAAAATTTCTTACACACTTAAAAGACAATTAAATACATTATAAAGATCAATTAAAACTTTTAGGCAATTTTCCCATTTTAAAAAATCCTTGTTTTGTGTAGATACATGAAATTATTAGTTATTATTTGTTAGTTCTTAAATATACATTGTCCCGTTTAATTTATCATGATCATGAGATCACCCCCGCCAAAAAGATTTGAAACTGTAAAGGGATTGTAAAGGTAATTTTAAGCATAACTCTGCAGTAAAAGATTGGAATTTTCTATTCATTATACAGTAAATTTAAAGGCTTTGTCTGAAGTATGAATTAGATATTCATGTTTTTGTTTTGAAAACTGTTTGTTTTCATTTGCATGGTTTCTCTGAAAATGTGACTTGTGCATTTCTTGATTCAGAAATAATGAAGAAATTATCAAAATTAAATCCTTCTTGTTTTCCACATTATTGATCAAATAACTATGTGCCAAGGGTACCGTTGTGAATCGGATATGCTCTTTTTTAATTGGAAAGTTACTTAAAATTACTACGACAGTCTCTTTAACCCTAAACAGGCTGGGGGGGGAGGGTTTTTGGCGCCCCCCTTATATTTTTTTGTCCTATCACTCTCATTTTTGACATTACCACCGTGAATTTTTTTTACTTTTAACGAATAGTAATTTAAAGGATTTTTTGTTAAAAAGTTTTTTTTTTATTTTAAGGGTAGGGTACAGGGCGAAAAAAGTCTGGTCTGTGAAAAAACAAATCTAAAATAGCCCATAACATTTTTGTGACTGAAGCTCAAAAACTTTATTTTTTAAAAGTCCTTGAAAAATATACGTAGAAGCATGTGTCACACTTTGATATTTGGCTAAGACAAAAAACAATATCAATTTTCACTTTTTTGACCCTTTTTAGGCATTTTGTTCAATTTTTTTTCTATGAGCTGACCTAGAAAAATTGGGCTATAAACATGCATTTCAACCTTATGCCTATTTCTTTAAGACCTTTTTCTAGGTGGGGGGGGGGGGCGCCAAACCCCCCCCCCCCCCTCCCCGGCTATGCATAGATTCAAGCCCCCCAGCCTTTATATAAAAATATTAAGTAAAGTAAAATCCAATATCGCCACAAAATGATTATTTGCTGGGAAAATATTTTCAATAACTTTTAGCAGTCTGGTACTTTCTCATTCTAGTTCTTTCAAAAACGAATTTTTGAAAGAAAAAAGTCGATATTTGGAAATATATCATTTTTTTTAATTGAAATTGAAAAATGTCAGACCATTCTGTTCAGCCGTTTGGCCAACTATAGCTATGAGCGAAAAGCATTATTATACATGTAGCTAGATGTCCATATTTGACACAAAAACTGTGGAATGGAAAGACAACTGCTGATCTACAGTTTTGATTTTGAATATATTCATAACAAATTCAATTAATTAGATGATCGTCTTTTTATATCGTCTTCGCACTCCACAGTTGTATGGGTTGTACTTTATTAGATATCTCATTAATACTTTTTGAGTTCATAGACCAACTTTTCATGGCCAGCTCATTGATAAAGAAAATAGACCGCTAACTTTAATAGGCTTTATTTTCACAAATCTGACTTTTTACCGGCACGTTCGCCAACTCTATAGCATTTAAAAACCTAAAGAGAGGGCGTCAAAGGAACCCCACTCCCCCCCCCCTCCGCCTGCTCACGGTTAACAATACAATTTGTATTCTCTTAAAGATAAACCTCCAAACCTTTATAAATAAACAAAAATTATAATTAATTATGTATATACAAAACCTAAACAATACAGCTTTAAATTCTGGACCATTTTATGTTCAAATTATTTATTTTGACATCTTTGAGCTTTTAGGCTTAATTCATCAACATTCAATTGATAACAGAGAGATTTGTTTACTGAAAATTAAATGTGAAATGATGTTTAAAGGGAGTGACCGGCTATGTAAGGTAGTTGAACTGAGGCCGCAGTGTTGTCGAAAACTTCTTTAGGATTCATATGAGACATATTTCACTTTTTAAAGATCTGTAAATCCTGAGTTTGAGCGCAAATTCGACGTTCAAAACTCCTGATTTGGGGGTGGATACGCTTTCAGAATTAGTTTTTTTTTAA